ACAACTTTATTAGTAATTTGAAAAGTTGTGTAAAACCTAAATATGTAATTTTTAAGCCTTTAAATCTATGAAATAATTTATTTCAAGAATTACAAATAATTTTTAAATGATATTTTTCATATGTAAAATTTGTTGAAGCATTAACAATATTTGAATCTAATTTATACTTATGAAAAAACTCTAAGTCTATTAGAATTCTTTGAAAAGTTTTTGTTAATTCTTTATTTTTATATTTTAGAGTAAAATCAACAAATAAAACTTATTTTAAAATTTATAAGAGGTTTTTATCAAATATGCTATCTATAATAATAGATAAAGAATAAAAATAAAGCCTTTGAAATACTTAGAAAACTTCAGACAGTTACTTTTAATTTCTTAAAATTCAAAATGTATTTGTTTTATTATGTTAAACCTAAAACTATTAAAATATTGGTGAAGAAAATGTTGTTAACATCATTATAAAACCTTTAATATTTTCATAGCTTGCTGGAACTCCCCACTCTTCAATGTAAATGAATGTGCTCACCTTGAGGGCTGCCATTCAAATGACAAACTGGTTTAATTTTAGGCCATTTTTGTGTATCTACTTTCAAGACAGGAAAAGAAAAATTAAAAAGTCATAAAAATATTTCTGACCAATCAGAAAAGATCCATTTAGCTTCAACCAATGGTTCATTTTCAAGGTATTCTATCACTATATAAACTGCCACTCATTCAACTCCAGACAGAAGGTTCATCTGAGTTACCACAATCATTTACCTATCCATTACCTATTTTGGCCACACTTGCCAAAAATACCTACACAGTGAAGCTGGACACCAACAAATAAAGACAACCACAAAGTCACCAGATGTCCAATGCTAACAGCAACCGCTGAGGCTGCTTTGTGATGTAAACTTCTATTATTATGTGATAGAGCTCATACGTTTATATTTTCCTAACATGTTCTTTATCTACAACTACAATGCAATATCAACTATATATTTTAGAATGTTGAAAAGAACTCTGTAATGATTTTTGTATATTGCCTGAGGCAAAAACTTAAGTAAATCCTTCTTTTCACTTTAACAACACCTCATCTCCATTGTTGTATGTTACCTCTCATTTTTTTTTCTTTTAGCATGAGTTATGGTACCATAGGTAACACAAACAAACTAGATTGTTTCAGAATATTTTTTTAATCATTTCACTCTAAGCAAGTCAATAAAGCCACTAAGATGCAAGGAGTTACTGAGAGTGAGAGAATATACAAAAAATACATTATGAAGGAGAGAGAGCAATAAAGTAATAGGAATTAAGAAAACAGAAGGTAATGATTGACATTGCATTTAAATTTTTGAAGATCAAAGTTGACTGGAAGAGAGTTCCCCAATCAAGAAGTGTGAGAGAAGAAACTGTTAGCATAGAACTTACAGATACATCTAGCCATTTCAACAAGTAGGATAACCTTCAGAGAGTTTTTAGTAATTTTCTTTATTCCCCCTTGGCCTGGAAGAGGTCTAGAGCTTTATTTGACCATCTTCCTAGAGATGGTGTCTTGATAAATGGCTCCAATCTTTCCAACATTTATCAATTTTATCTATATTGTAGTTCCTGCAACAGTATTAAGGATTTTAATTATCAATTATTTTGTTATCTTAGGAAGTATTTTAGGTTAAAAATGCTTTTCAAAATGAACATGCTTTGTAGATATTTAGTAAATTTAGCCAAGCCTGGCACAAGGTCAAATTGTTGAGAATATAGGTAAGAAAATTGTACAGGATCCATCTTCCAGGTGGCATTCAAAATCATGGTTGTCTTTTGATGGACTCAAATATCAACCACTGGGAAGAATATTAACAGAGGATGGAAAGTGTGACATGGAAATAAGTCCAAAGGTACAATGGGATAACAAAAGTGCCTTCCAGAAGCTGAGCAAAGTATTAAGAAACAGAAAAACATCATAAGAAAAAAAGAAAAGAGTACTGAACTGTTAGGTAATATCAGTCCTCCAATATGGCAGTGAATGCTGGGCAATCTCCTCACAGATAAAAAAGAGACTTGAAGCAACATAAATATGGTTCTACAGAGAATACCATGGACCAAACATGTGAGCAACAACAAAGTTATAGAGACAATGGTTAAAAAAAGACACTTATACTTAACATCTGGAAGAGACAGTTGAAATTTCTGGGGCAAATAATAAAGAAAGAGGGCTTGGAAAATTTGATACTCACAGGACAGATTGAAGGTAAGAGAGACAGTGGAAAGCAACACATTACATATCTGGTGAGTTTGAGTGAATGGATGGCAGAACGAGGTTTGGGAGAGATGTTAAAAGGACAGCTGTTATTAAAAGATACAAAGGACAGGAAGTTGTGAAGAGCCATAATCGCCAACATCCTGAAGGGACACAGCACATATCAGTAAGAAATATATAACTACCTCAGTAACAAGAGGGACCAACCTAATTTGGAAGATAAGGAGAAGGTATTTCCAAAGTTGTGAAGTTATAACATAAGTTTTGGTTTACAGCCTCATCACATTGAAACACCAGTTCCCATACAATCACCAAAGTTAAGCAATGTCAAACCTGGTCAGTACTTAGAGGGATCACTGCTTGGAAATAGCAGATGCTGTAATCTTGGATCTATAGGTGGTGTAATGCATAATAGCTTGGAATTGTTAATCAGAGAGCCAAGTTCCAATTCCAGTTGGGTTTGTTATATTCACTTATGCACAAATACCATTAGGAAGGGTATGAATCCACCACTTCCCCTCCCAGCTATGGGTTAATTAGTAAAACTTGCATCACTAAATCATTATTATCTCAGAAAAAATTCTTATAATATAAAAATATTTTCTGGCTTTAAATAACCTGCAAAGAGTTGACAAGCTTTACAAAATGAATCAATATATAAACAAAAATAAAAAAGAATTCAAATTAAAATAAGTCATTTTCACTTTCCTTTAAAACTCTTATCTCTTTCTTTTTCTCACTCTCTAAACTTCTTTTTCTATTCTTCTCTCAACTCACGAGAAAGAAACCCTCAAATAAAAAGGAAAAGAAGAAAAGACTGAACCTGGCCAAAAACAGTGGAAGTTTGCAGGAGCGGAGTTTACTTGAGACTGAAAAATACCAAAAATCAGTGAAGCTCCATGCATAACTTCTGTTAAAAAAAAAAAAATTTAAAAGTAAATAAAATAATTTGGGAAATCAAGAAAAATGACACAAAGATACTTTTTGATGTTTGTACCAAATTCACAAGCCTGGTGATAAGGATATAAAATCTGGCATCTCAAGGCTATGAAAGACACCAGAAGAGGATGAAAACAAAAGAACGCAGCCACATGTGACACTAGAAGCAGTTAAGAGGTCATCAGCTACTGACATTTCCACACTGTTTCATGGCCCGAAAAGAACACAGCAGATTGACACTGACCTAATTTATCACATTACCACTATCCCTGTCATGGTCTTTCAAAACAGCCACAAACGGACATTTCTCCAGACTGCAATCAATATTCACCTTATTAACAATTTTGTTAACTGAATACCAAAGCGCTCACTCATCACTCTAAAGAAAATAAATATTTTATTTATTTTAAAACCCTGAGTCAGTTCATTTTATTTCCAAAGTTTCTGATAAAATAATTATCCTATCACCTACCCACAAACTCTTAAGTCAGTTCGTCTTATTCCCAAAGTTTCCAATAAAATAATTATCCTACCTACCACCTATGCACACTGGCAGTGTTCAGATGTGAACTTATATTGCCATACTGGTGACCCGTGACCACTGTCACGCTAGCATCGATATTACAGTACAGTACACAAACACCTCTCTTACTGCAATGACAAAGGTGCTGCCACAGTGCTGGAATCCCCCGGGATTGAGCAAGTTCTCCCATCTAAAATAAGGAGAAACGTTTACTTCCGACACAAAAGTTATCAAAAAGTATATTCAGTTTAAAATTTACCACAAAAAAGGGCGTTAAAATATCCATACTAATCTTTGGTCCACCGCTGACGCCAAAAAAAAAAAAAAAAAAAAAAAGAATGAAAAAGATTTTTATTTTTTAACCAAAATTTCGAACGAACGTGCTAGAAAGGATTAAAAAATTTAATAAAATAATAAAAAATACTTTGGTCTTTCCTCTTAACAAACATTTTGACGATAAAACTTTGTTTTTATCAAGTTTGGGGTCTTTTTTTTTATCATGTACTTGTAAGGAAAAGAGTGGAGTTACCTAGTTTTTACTTTACAAAAGGAGTCATAAAAATTCCCAGGGTCGTCGCCAGATAAGAGGGGGGGATTACCCTTCCCGATACGTCCATTTCAGTTTCATTCAAATTGTTTTTGTGTGTGCGCGCATCTTTTTTAATTTAATAGATCTGAAAATATTTCTACAAAATTTAAAAAAAAAAAAAAAAAAAAAAATTTAAATAATTATACTGACTAATTCCCGAAACTTTTTTTTGTCTTCAACTGTTCTGTTGGGTAGGGGTTGACTTTTCTTTTGTGAAAAGATGCCCAAAGTTCTTCAAAATTGAATCTTTAAAAAAATTCTTACAAAAAAAAATTAAGCAATGCTAGATTATCATTTGGGGTTGTTTAAATTCTTATAAAAATATATCTGATTTAGTACTTGTAGTCAAACTTTTTTTTTATGTAGTTGCAGAAATTCGTTTGTGACGCGTGTTCAAATCTTACTAAATGTCATTTATTTTTATAATTTAAATTTTATTATTTTATGCTACATATGCTTAAATTGCGTACCTTTAGTTAAATCTTTGAAAGAAAAAATCGACTAAAAAGTTTACCCTTTCAATAAACTTATAGTACAATAATTAAAATAATATTTACAAGAATTTGGAAGAAAACATTTCTACATAAACAATCAAAGTTAAGTTCGACAAACTTTGAACGCGAGAGCAATATGAACTTACTTCGGCACACTTCGACAACTTCCGTTTTAACCATCTTTGATGCTTTAACGGAAACAACCGAAGATTTCCGATGTGTCAGTGTCCATTTACACCAACTCGAACAAATCCTATTGCTGAGGTCGATTTAAAAGCAAAAAGTGGAAAAACTTTATAAGCAGACTTGTAAAAGTGTCAGGGACCAGCGTCAAGTTAGCGACTGGAAACGTAAGACTTGATTTATTCACTTAACATTTGACTAACGGCTCATTCTTATTTCAAAACTGATCATAAAAACGAACTCCTAATTTGTTGATCAAAAAACTTTACGAAAACTACTACTACTCTCTTAGAGTTTTTCTTTGTTTCCCGCTGGACAAAGTTATCAATAGGGACGAAAAGTACGCAATTTCTTGTTGGAACGATTGTAAAACAAGTTTTAACATCGTCAAAGCAATTAAGATAGTACATAAATAAGTTGTCAATAAGTAAAGTTGTATTGCTACATATAAACATAAAATGCTGACCAACTTTTTGTGTGGTTCATTAATTGGCAGAGAAAAAAAAGCATGATTGACCCATTTTTTTTCTTCTATGGATGTTCAGTGGAGCTAAAAATATTACAAGTTGGAAGTAATGAACTGATTACTGAAAATGTAAAACTTTGTCTCAATAAAAAGAAAGAATAAAGAAGTTTTTTTTTTTAAAACAAAGTTGCTTTGATCTATACAAAATATTTAACTTCAATTTAAATATTTTTCCTATTGCTTTACAAAAGAAAGCTCTTTTTTTATTTCGAATGAACAAGTTTCGTTATTGAATCTGCTTTATATATTTAGCAAGCATTGATCAAAAATTATGTTGATGTTGAAAAAATATAAAATAAATAAAATGCAAACTTCTTTAAAAAAAAAAAAAAGATGACATTACAATGTTGAAAGTTGCTCACAAAATAACTCAAAAGTTGTGATGGTTTATGAGATGTTTGCATATTTAAGCCTCTCATACGATTTTCAAAGTTTGAAAGATAACTTAATTTTACTTTATTTGTAGTTTTTAAATTTTAATGATCGAAAATAACATTGAAAATCAAAAATCAAATCTTATTTTTAATAAAAGAGCTCCAATGTGAATTATCTCGTAAAAAGAAAAAATGTTAATTTAATTATCAACTGAAATAAAACAAAAAAAAAAAAAAATTAGGATCTTAAAAATAAAATTGTAGCCTCAGTAATTTTGTTTTTGTGCATCTTTGATTTTATTTTTTTTTAAGCAACTTTTTATTTTAATTATTAATGATTTTGTAAAAACTTTACTCAACATTCAACAACTTTATATTTTTTTTTACTTGACGTTGTGGTTAAAAAAAAAAAAAACACTAAAAAAGAAAAGTTTTGTTATTCACTTTGTTAACCGTTAACATGAAAAAACAAACACCTTTTTTTAATTCTATTTTTAATTAATGAGTCCTTGATTTAAAAAAAAAAATCCTTTTCAAGAAACCCAAGAACCCTTTTTTTAAAAAATAAAATTACTCCGAAATTTAAAATTCAAAAATTGTTTTTTTTTTTTTAATTTTTTTAACAGCAGATTGAAAAATTAACCAGCAAAATGTGAGGAAGAAAACCAAACAAAATTATAAAAAAAAAAGAAGTCAAAATTTTTATTTAAAAAATTACATTTAGACACCTTATTTGGTGTTGGTTATTTTACCCCTAAGGAAAAAAAAAGTCATGGTCTATTATTGCAGCCATGGGATTTTATTTATTTTTTTGGTATAGTTCACTGAGAAAAGATTGAAATAATGAATTAATTAGACTATATTTGACTTCAGTTTTTTAAAAAATAAAAGGACATATTTTCTCAGATAATGTGCTTTTTTTATTTTTAGCAACTACGAAAAAACTAAATTTTATTTTTAAAATGTGGAAAGTATTGGTTAAAAAAAGGACTACCAATGAAAAATCGGAATATTTAATTTTATGATGAAATAATTTATTTTAATTTAAAATTTTAAAAATATAACAAAAAGAATTAAAAAAAAAAAAATTAACTTCTTAGTGTGAAAAATTAAACTCTGGCCGTATTTGAATTTTAATATTTTATTTTTAATTTTAACTTTTTAATTAGCTTCATTTATTAAAATAAAATATTTTTGTCAAATAGTTTTTTAGCATATTTTTAAGACTATATGTTTTTTGTTACATAAATTTAAATTTTTAAAATTAGTACATTGGTCACCACAGGGACCACAAATCTCTACCAATAGCTAAAAAAAAAACAATACTCAAAGTGACTTAAAAAGCAAAAATAAATACATACAACAACAATAATATTGGAATCTTTGATGAAAAAACAACAAAAAAACGTTTGTACACACTTTGGCCTCCCGTATAAGTTGCAAGATAAACTATTTTTAAAAAGCAAGACCATCTACTCATCCTCCCGCAAGGATGTGAAGATATGGTTCAAGGCACCATTTCCAGAAATTGTTCAAATTTCTTGGTACTTTGCTTTCAAGACGTCTTTGTGATTAACATTTTACATGCAATAGTGACATGCTGTCTGAAGTGATGATTCCATAGCATCTTTTTTGTATTTGTTGTTTTTTTTGTTTGCTTTTTTTTTCGTGGCGGGGGAGGTGGTGCTTCGACACCAAAACTTTTCTTAATGCAAGAAGGCGGGAGATAACGAAAATCGCTTAAATCATAAATCTCTCTTTCAGACAACTGATATTATATCAAAAAATGATTGCTTCCAAGATGTTAGTTATAATTTTTTTTTTTACTGCATACATTTCTGACTGCTGAAATGTTTGTTCGTCTTCTTATTTTAGCATATTTATTTTAATTTCAACCCAGTAACTACTTACTACAAACTAGCCAGCGTTACTAGTTAGTAGTTTAGTTAGTAAACAATTGGTTTGTTTTTTTAAGTTAAAAAAAAAACTTTTTAAATTAAAGATATTTTATTAATAATGTTCAAGTACAAGAATTGATAACTGAGTTTATTTCTAGATTCTGTGAAATTGTAACTTCTGGCACAAGGCCCTAATAATGGAGCACCTATTGAAGATTAAAAGTTTATGGTCTTCTAACCATTTGGCAGTTGATCATTTCTGAATGTGAATTGTTCAAAAACTAATAAGTAGTTTTAGAAGAATTCACACACTTTCAGTGTCATTTTTTTTTCTTGCACCTTTCACAGGTAAAATAATGAAAACATTAACTTTCGTTGATGCTAAGCATAGTAATTATTCTATGAAAAATGTTTTCTTTTTTTTAATTAAATATTATTGACAAGTAAAATAAAAACAATTTTTACAAAACTTGTCAAGGTTGACAACGGGTGCAATACTTTTTTTATTGAATTTGTACAGTTTAAGAACTTGGCCAGTCAAAGAAATTAATTAGTAACATTAAAGTTATTTTTTTATCATTTATTTAAGTGTATGCATGTGTGTTACTTGGTATATAAAATGCACATTTAGGTAAGTAAAAAAAAAACTATACTATTTTGTATCCAATGTATTGGGATTAGTTAGCACATCTACACAATGGGATTGCACAATACAGCCAGGGGGATATTTGTAGTTTTTCAGCACAATTATGGAAACTATTAATATTTTTTTTTTTTTTTTTTTTGTGCTTAGGAATATTAAAAACAAAACTCACATTTCTAATTAAAAAATAGTGGTTTAGGTTTAGAAACCCAAATTACCAAAAAGACCTTAAATTTTTCATTTTTAGTCTTATAGATGAGAGTGGGGGTCAATGCCAAGAATGGATTCAGCATCCTACCAAAAATTAACATAGAAATAGAGGTTTTGATCACGACTTTCTGAAATACAATGACAGTTATGTTAAAACTGATATTTTATGCCTGGCATATGGCATAAAAAGCAGGTGATAATCAATTTAATGTATGAAAGGAACTGAGTACAATTTAAATAGCTTCTCAAGTACAATTTTCTTACATTTAAATTGTTTTAATGTTTAGGATCTTACACTAAAAAACAGGTAAAATATGGCAAAAATATTGTATCAGTTAGACTGAATTTTGTATTGTATACCCATCTTGATGTCACTTTTGAAAAAGAGTCTCAAATCAAACCTGTTTGTCACTTATAACATTAATTTCAACAATATTTCAATGACTTTCTTAGCAAAAAGAGACAAAAAAGGCAACTATCCAGAATTGATCATTTAAAGACAAATGATTAAACATGCGTAACTTTTGATTAATTTCAAATGATCATAACTTGACAAATACTTAGGACCAGTTCTGAAATCCTGAAACTGTCTACTCTCAACATATATCACTTGGGAAAATGTTTAAAAAATGCTAAATGTCCATTTGTGAACCCAATGATCTACCCATCTACAGATAGGCTTTAAATGGGCTGTGAGCTATAGTGTCACAAATATATGGTTATACTCATCATCTTATAGCTGGCAAAATGTGCATGCTAGCATAATTTGGAACTTTTTAAATCTACACACACACACACACAGGATTAAAATATTAATCTGCCAACCTCCAAGACTTGGTTGACATAAAAAATGACTTGATTCTGTAAAAGATAATGTCAATTTCTTTACTCCTCTCACATCAATTTAAATTTGAATTTTTTTTTTTAAATAAGTAAAAAAGAAAAAAATGTTGGTTGAATCTGTGATTCCTTGAACAATACCAATGAGTTGATTTATTAAATTCTTATGGTCAATTTAATGTATTTGACATCAAATAACCACAATAAAGCTTCTTACAAAATAAATCAAATCAGTTTTAACATTTTCTTTAGTCTTTATTGTATTAAATTTAACTAGTAGTACCGATGAAAATTTCATGGCTGGTTTGTTTGAATTCTGTTTTTTCTTTGTCTTTTTCTCACTGAAACCAAGTAGAATCTCTGATGTCTTTTTCATCTTTCCTTGCAATCAAAATGGAACAGTCCATTGTTTGTTAGATATTGACAGGGTGTTTCTTTCTTTGTCTTTTTCTCACTAAAACCAAATAGTATATATGATATCTCTTATTCCATCTTTCCTCTCAATCAGAGCAGTCAATTTTTTTTATGAAGTATTGGCAGTGTTTCTTTCTTTCACTGAATCTAAGTAGCATCTCTGATATGTCTTTTCTGTCTTTCCATGCAATCAAAACAGAATAGGCCATTAGCCATTATTCATAAGGTATTGGCAGGGTATAATGTACATGCTAACAAAGAA